ACTGCTTTGACCAACCAAAATCCAGTCATGCATGTGGCAAAGTTCAAGAACGCGATCAGCAAAATGGGTGAAACTTTGTCAAAATATCGATGTAATTTTTGCTTTTGCGTGGGGATCATCCTGATATATAGTTCGGTTCGGCAAGACGGCGTGGCAGTACTACGTCTGTTCTTTACTTGTGCTGTGGGCAAGAAAGTATGTCACTATTTGGACAATGTAACCCATACATTTCTCTGAGTGTAAATTACGTTCCATGTAGGTGAAGTCACACCATGTCAGAGGATCGCCATACTGGGAAAGGGCAAGTTGATCTTAACTTGATCCGACGCTGTAAGGTTGGGAGGTGAGTTGAAAGATCAAGTTACAGGTAAGTGTTCCTGGGAATATCGCTTGAAAGAAACAGCTTCGGGTAAAGTCTGCGTACCTCATTGCAAAAAGTATTTGTTTGACTACCATCTATAGCTATATTTCCAGTGATGTCATGAACAATGTGAGAAAATATCGCACAGTTTAAGAACGTTTGGATATATTTATACCTTAAAACAGCCAGTGTCAATATATTCAAAGTAGCGCTCACTTATGAAGTGTTATACATGCAACGACGTTCAAGATATACGCGGTAATAAAAGATTTTAAATTCACCGAACCTTTGCCGTGAACTATGCTTGTCAGTTCACCAGGAAAGCACCCTGAAGAACGTAAGCCAACAGACGACACGAAATTCCGGAGAGGACATTAAGACGAGCTCAGCGAACATTAGAGAGGCTGAGTGAGCATTAGAGAGGCCAAGTGAGCATTTAGAGAGGGAGTGAGAGGTTTTAATTTCATCGAGTGGGCGATCGGACAAGAAAACATCCCAAGTTGTATCAGGAAACGCTGCATTATGCCGCTATGGTAGGATCAAGCCCACTCTATGATACACAAAGGGCTTTCATGCAAAATTTCGCAATAGTCTTAATAATTAAGTAATTAAAATTAATGTAATAACATCGGATATTTGGAATTAGCAGGCATGCAAATCTTTTACAAATAATTAATAATACTCACAATATTTATTTTCAGCTTCCAAATTACATAAGCGCATGCCTAATATCGTGATGAACTCTAATATAAATATTATAAACTCAAAGTAGCCAACGCTCTAATTAGCAAATAATTCAGTACATTATAACTTTTTTATGACCAAACTTGAATCTATGGTTTCATACATACAAGACTATATAAATAACTACATTCGGAGAAATTAATGGGTTATAATGTCCAAAAAGTGACACACATTCAGCATGTAGCACTGATACGTCCTTTTTCCTCTCGTGTCTTTTTTAGCCACTTGTAACGTGCCCTCGAAGTTCGATCCGAACGAGACGCCACGACAATCTCTTCGTGGAATAATAATAATAATAATAATAATTTTCCGGGTCAAACTAGGTGACGAAGATGACCCAAACAAGAACGAGAAGTGCATTGCTATTAGGACATCGTGTCTCTGATTGTACGCATGAAAGCAACACACCCAGCACCAGATGATGTCGTCACCGGCACTGCTGTGCTCCGTCTTGTTTCTAATACTATTAAAACAACGTCATTATTTACGCCGTAGCCCCGTCCCTTCGAGCGTTTCATCAAAAATTGAAGTTTGAACAACGTAGTCGATCGTACCTTCGAGCGTTCCATCAAAAATTGATGTATTTTTTCTAACAACGTAGTCGAACAATAAACCAATTCTTTCATTTTGACACCCAATTCAAAATTGAAATTACGCGTATGGAATAAATCCTAACAATGGATAACACAAAGCACAAGGGGGCGCGTCTCTGCAGTGAAGTCAGAGATCAGGGCGGATCACAGCCATGCAAGACTGCCGTGTAAGGGCAAGGTCTGCATGCTCTAATGGCAAGGTCTGCACGCTTTATAACGTCTTCAGTAACGCAGACGTCATGTATTGTTCACGAATTAAATCACGAGCCTTCTAAGAAACCTTTGGCAAAGGCCCTTGGACGGAGCAGATAAATAAAAAAATTGTAAGGAATGAAAGCGATGAATTAGAAATACGATCATTTAACATGAAGATAAACGTGTTTCGGAACAGATAAACCTCCGTGAAATATATAATAAACACCTTCCATGACTGACATGGAACAATCAACCACTCAGGACCGTCATTAGGTATAGGTATATTTTAGGAGACTTTAGCTCGTAACACATTCTAAAACCTCTTAAATTAATTTTAAATGAGATCATGGATATAAATATAAACCTTTGTCCTAATTGCAAGCAAACGCTCATCGCAGCCTCGCGTAACGAATTTTATCTTGAACGCCTGTACGCCTGCGTCTTCCACCATAAAGTAGGATGTTATCGAGTCTCCATGATTCATGTGAAGATCATGTCGACACGACTCGGAAATTAGCTGTAGGGCGAGAACAGCGGAGCACCCGCAAGCTTCGGAAATGCCTACTTGCCGCCGCTATTACGACGTTCTCTCCGATAAAAAATATTATGAATACATGAATACTGGAGGTTAGGAGAAAACCCGTCATTTCCGACAGTTTTTTACACAGGCAAACTTAGGAGTTTGAATAAAATATCGTTACACATGAATCTCAGAGGAGGATGAGTTTAGAGCATGAGTTAAATCCTTATAGATTTCAAAATGACTACTATACTGCGGAATTACGCATTTTTGCGGTTGCAAATTTATGGTGTTAAATTCATCAATACGTAGTGGCTGTCAAGACTATACTTCATGCCTAAAGATCATATGACCAGCCATTAAGCCTGGAAGTTCGCCGATCATATTACGGACAACAGCAAATTTTGGGTGTGGTCCTCCACTGAAGTACTTTTGACCATGTCCGTGATTGGCGGTATGGGGCATAGGTCTGTCCTCGTGAAATATCTAATGTTATTATCTTAACAAGAACTCCAGGTAGTTACGCGAGACCAGGAGTTCTTGTTTCACAGCGTAACTCTCAACGCTGACAGTCAGTCTGCAAAGCGGATGAGGAAATATGTGGTCCAAATAGTAGGTAGACGCTTTCTACACGTAGTGCTGATATGTCCTTTTTAGGGCCAAACCGAGTCAAGATGACACATTAAAAAAGTGCATCGCTATTTAATTGGAAATTGTCTCGTCTATTTCTCTGAGTGTGGATGAGGAGCAGTTCTGCATGGTACGTTTAGAATGATTACCTTCCGGTCGTTAAGACCATTCACTTTAGTTAAATGGAAATGATTTTAAAAATAATTTCAGTTATTGTTCATTGTTAACTGTTCTTTAGAGTGGTTACGTGAAAAGCGAGCTTGAGTTTGTCGTTAAAAACTAGATCATATGCAAGAATTAAAATGAGGTTTTGCCAATTTAAAATTGAAGAGCTACATAAACTTTCTACCAACCAATAACAAGACCAACAACATTTCACATTACCGACGATGTTTTATAGATATGGGATGCCAAATTTTGAATTAGTGTCTTATTTAAATTTTCTAATATTATTGTTAGAAAAATTTTATTTATGTATTCAAGTTCAGAAAATAGAGCGTCACGTGGAGATCGGATACTCTGTTTTCTATCGGGTGCAATCTTTACTCACGACTCGAGCGCCTCTGCATGCATGTAGTGGCATGCCCAACCAAGCAAATAACGTTGAAATAACGTTTAATTAACGTTCAATCAACGAAAAACGTTTGTTTCAACGTTAATTTAACGTTAGATGCCTGGTGGCATGGAAGCTGCCCACACGTACCTGCAACAACAAGAAAGTCGGGTCAACATAACCAAATTGATTGTATTACATCAACCATTCAACACAAAGTTCAATGAACACTCGATTAATGACCTAATTCGATTTGGTTCATATAATTTCTGCAAATTAAAATGATGAACACTTCCTATTCAACATGTAACATATAAATATGAATAATGGAATATATGAATATAAATAATAAAGAATTTAGGTGCGAATCATATATACAATTCGACTAATAACAATATATGAATATAAATAATAAAGAATTTAGGTGCGAATCATATATACAATTCTACTAATAACAAGTAACACATGAAGCACATCACAACACATTTCGCAGATTTTGTTGCACGGTTCGAATATCCAAATTTATAATGCTTTACTCAAGCAATCAATAACTTACTTACTTTAATTATGACCATTTACGCAACACCATTCATTTTACTATGCACTATTTTACTTAATATTACTATGGTAATACTAAGACATTATTTGTGGGGGCACCAGATTTTATTTGGGCGCCGTCGAGGCTAGCCTAGCACGGCCGTCAGGCCCTCACATAAATAAATTGGTCATATTGTCCAAAAAATTACACACATTCTGCACGTAACACTGATACGCTCTAAACGATGAACCGAGTCTAAAAGACCGAGTGAAGCACAAAAATTACATCACTGTATGGACAAAGTCTACCTCATTTCCATGAGTGTTTGTCACTGGAGGTTCGGCCGGAGCCAGACGTCGTGTCGCCGACGCGTCGCGGTCTTTTAATTGCTCTGCACTCAGAGACATGAGCGAGACTTTGTTCAAATTGTGATACACTTTTTACCTTTTGTCAGTATTTGTACAGAATGACCCCTTTATTTTTATGGGTGCATGTATAATCCCCGCAGTGCCTGTCACGTCTTCCATGGTCATCCGCAAAAAAAATTAATGGGCCATATTGTCCAAATAGTGACTCACTTCCATGTCAAAATGGGTCAGGATAACCTACATAAGGGCATTAAGTCACACGTAGTCGAAAGAATTTTAAAAAATCCTTTAAATAATATATACGAGATGCTTCCGAACTATCAGCTATTGTTATAATCATGTGTCCAAATATATGGTGTCATCCACCATATAATCCAGTAAATTAAATAATATTCTTTGCATAAACAGTTTCAGCTAAGAATTCAATGGTGCTTGCCGCATGTCCTCCTCAGATGGCCCGTGTAAATGCTGACATTCTCGTATCCGGAGCACGTGTACATGCTGGCATACTCGTGTCCGGGGCACGTGTACATGCTGGCATACTCGTGTCCGGGGCACGCGCCGGAGCACGTGTACATGCTGGCATACTCGTGTCCGGGGCACGTGTACATGCTGGCATACTCGTGTCCGGGGCACGCGCCGGGGCACGTGTACATGCTGGCATACTCGTGTCCGGGGCACGCGCCGTGGCACGTGTACATGCTGGTGTCCGGGGCACGCGCCGTCAGCAGATGGGCAGACGGAATGCCTAACAACTCTCGGAACCAATGCCACGAAGTACAGGAGGGCGTCGCCGGCATTAGTTACCAGACCGGGAATGTGTGAAGACATTCCAGCCATTCCTGGATGCCCCTGCAACGCTCGTGGTGCAGATTTGATTGCGAGCAACAATGGTCAAGGCCATGCCAATATTTTTGCACTTCCAGAACAATGTTTTTATGTCCTCATGGCTGAAGATTTTTGCATAACTAATAAAATACAATCATTCGATGAATACAATCATTCGAAATTCACCATATGGACATAAACAAATTTTCGTTACATTTTTGTATTGTTCTACTTAGTGATATAAATAATTTCAGCTGGCACATTAAATGCCAATATATTTTCCTCATATAACCTAGGAGAATGCACACTGAATTGCAGGTTCCAATATCACGTTCAATCGAGCTGCATGCTTTGATAATGTAACATCATGGAGTGAACATTATTATATGCATTTTTGTAAATAAATATGTCTAAACGCCACTTTAAATCTTTAATTTTGAAGCTTTAAGTACCAAGCCTCGATCACTGAACATACGAACAGAAAAAGTCGTAAAACCTCATCAGGAATGATAGCTCAACATAACCCCAATCATCGTCCACCTCTTCTCTATAACATCAAATAATAATGTGTAGGCGCCCGAGGTAACAAGGAATTATTGACACTCGAAAATTATCGTCGGGTTTTCAGCGACCGACAGTCCGGCATGGTGGCCGAATTATGCAATGGGCGGTCCAGTTGAGACTTACGAACAGGGATTGCGGTGGAATGTTAATCTCTGGCGCCTTAAAACTGTCGGCCGCAACACAGAGAACAGCGAGCAACATCGACTTATCTCGGCCTGGGGCTACATTTTCAAAGAGTCTTACGATGATCGTTGGTTGAAGATAGCCGTGCACGCTTTGCCCGTTGTTTGATACCCGTGTACGTTTGGCACGCTTGGTTTAGTTTAAAACCTTGCTGAGATTACAATGGACATGCACATGACATACGCTGCAAACGAACCAGGTGCAATGAAATTTGTACAAAGAGAATTTAGCTCTCAAATGATTGAAAAGCATCAAAGCAAGCATCCATTAGCGAATATGTTAAAGGACCTCAAACAAGCCAAGCAAAAAATAAACTAGGATATGGAGAAGGCAGCAGTTTAGTCAGAGAATGTCGCGGCGGTCACAATTGTTTAGGCAGAAGGCAGCAAATCTAGTCAGAGAATGCCGCGGCGTGCACAATTGTTTGGATGGAAGGCAGCAAGTCTAGTCAGAGAATGCTGCGGCGGTCACAATTGTTTGGATGGAAGGCAGCAAGTCTAGTAAGAATGCTGCGGCGGTCACAATTGTTTGGGTGGAAGGCAGCAAGTCTAGTCAGAGAATGCTGCGGCGTGCACAATTGTTTGGATGGAAGGCAGCAAGTCTAGTCATAGAATGCTGCGGCGGTCACAATTGTTTAGGCAGAAGGCAGCAAGCTACCAACGCAGGCACGCAAGGTCCAAGGCCGCAATAATGGAAGACCTTGGAAAAGTTTTTTTTATCTGCGCGTGATGGTCTCCAGGTTCTCGCGCCTTATGGACTACGCACTAAGCGTGCTTACTTAATGCATGAAATAATATACGTTTAAAAATTACTTTTTAAAGACAACACTTCTAAAGAATCCAGTGTCTCAATTGTTAAAGATGTACCATGAATTTCTAATTTAATTTTTGAATATTAAAAAAAGTTGGAAAATAAAATTAAATAAAAAAATTAAAAATTTCAATTTTTTATATTTAAATTATTATTTCAAAATTATTTATTCTGTCAATTGATTCATGCATTGCCTCCGACTACACACAATGTGTGCAAAATTTCAGATCAATTGGACAGATAAAAAAGTGTCAGATATCAATTATAATATTTGTAGCTGACAAAATTATTTTCCAATTTTTTTAATATTGAAAAAATTAATATTCAAAATTATTTGTTTTGTCATTTGATTCATGCATTGTCTCCAACTTTACGCAAGTGTGCAAAATTTCAGATCGATAGGATAAGTAGAAGTGTGTTAAATTTCGATTATAAGATTTGTAGCAGACAGACAGACAGACAGACAGACAAACAAGAAGTGAAGTTAAAGAGAAGTGTTGTAAAAAGAATTAAATTTTCGGTTACAACGACTTCCCTGGATGAAAGAATAAAGCTCGGAGACGTGGACAGGCCTATTAGCGTCGGGAGTAGCTTCTTAATTCAACATGAATGGGCTCAAAAATCTTCTTTGATAAATGAACTTCGAAGGTAGACTTTCGGAGCAAGATTGTCGAGGATCTAGCATGTTAAAAATTATAGTATTGACTATGCACTTTTTAGCTCAAGTAACAAAACAATTTAGTTCTTAAAAAAAACAATATGATAAGAGTAACAACTGTTTTAATTATAACATTAATTCTAGATGATGTAGATTGCTTAACAGCTTGATTGGCTTCAAGTAACAGGATAAATGTTCAGGGTGTACCTGTGCATGCAGACAAGTCAGCGCTGACGTTGCAGAAGGAAATATTGTAATGCTGAACTCGGTATTAAACACGAGTATAACACATTAACTTTTACGTAATGTAGGTTGCTTGAAAGATTCATTAACCTCAAGGCACATGATAAATGTTTGGTAAGGGTAACCCGAGCATCCAGTCAAGTTGAAGATGACGCGTACCGATCCACCAGACCGCCCCCGCCAAGGTCGACAACAGGTGAGGCGCGTCTGGCAGCGCTGCTCGTCCTGACAGTACGAACGCTGCGTCGGCAAGCTAAGGGTCCTACCCTGACAAAATTTAGAGTCGCCCCAGCTTCTTGTACTCCAAATCAGAAGCTGACGCGTCTGTAAATTTTCACAGGGTACAGGCGTGCCTGGCATGCACGTGCCATACGGAACTCAAGCACACTTTAGGGAGATCGCATGATAGACAAAAAGATTTGTGTTAAATCTTTTGCCTACTGATACAATGGTCGTCACTTGATCGAGCCTGGAGGTCTGGATCACGCCATGAAGTAAGTAGACAAAGGGCAAACTATGGAGATTTTCGTGCTCCAATACCGCAATAAAAGCACGTTGCGCACAAACTAATTTTTTAAACTTACGACTCCAAATAAAATATAAGTTTTTATTCTCCGTACAGAATAGATCACACCAAACGAAGCAAAAGAAAACAAGCACCGACACAGGACGAGCTATACAGCGAGTCAACCGCATCCTCGTAGACCCACTGGAGCGTGTAAATTACACACTAAAAAACTTGGTAGTGAAGATCACTCCGCAGGCATGTTGCTTCTGACAGCAACGGAGCTGCAGAAAAACTTATTCACAAATATTAAACCGGGAGTCAAGCAAGTGCGATCTGTTCTGACGATGGGTTTAATTGCAATGATTGCACTGAATTCATTTGGACTTGAAATAAAGTCTGCAGTTATTGATGAGCATCATATCATAGAAATTTATCAAATAATTTATCTGCCTCAACAGTGCATTAAAAATATTTTGAATCGCTTTTCAATAGTCTGAGGATAATATGGATTTTTTCGAGACAATTTATCGACATGGGGCTGATAGTCTATAAGCTTACTAATTAGCCTACAAAATGAAAGCGATCTAGACAATCTAGCAAAAGTGAACGGTTACAAGATTGCACCTTTCAACAATTGAGTTGCATGCAAGTGCTGTCAAAATGCGCAGAGTAGGAAGCGAGTTTTGTTTAAATTTATAAAAAAATATATAACATAGTTGAGGTACTAGACTCGCTGAATGAATTGACGAAACAATTCAAACAAGGAACGGCAATGGCAGACGCGCGATTGAAAATATCAAGCACGCCATGGAACGTCAACTGCAAGCGCAGCCTTCACAAGAACTCGGTCGGGACTCATCACAAGGACGGCTTGAAGGCATTCCTGCTATCCGAAGGACGCACTCCTTACTATGCAGCTATAATTTCTCAACTAATTGCCTGCCTCCTTTTCGAGGGCATCATCTGCAACTCGGAAATAATCTTACTTACATAGAGGAACAGAGACATGAAGCACCAACAATTCAGTTAAACAATCAAGGGAGAATTTCAAGTCTATTCAGTCTATGCAAGGAGCCCCAATAAAACATCAACGAAGTTCAGCAGCTACGCAGACCAGCAATCGCATCATCAAGCGTTGATCAAGTGAACAGTTAAACAGTAAGACCAACTTTAATAATCAACCATGACCAACTTCAAGACCAACTTTAATAAGCAAGCCACCAACTTAAATAAGGTATAACGACAGGTGTAAGGCAGAACGGGAAAGGACTCGGGATATATTCACAATTCATTATGTGACGTAAGGCAGACAACCATACAAACGGTAATACCACAATAAAGGAATATAAAAATACTCAGCTAACAAATACATAGTATGTAGCACGACTGTTAGGACGAATATGAAAGCAAGCAATCGAACAAACATACAAGTAGTAATTAAATGCGATGTTTTAAAGCACCAGAGAAAGAAGTAGAGGTAGGGATAGTCATATAATACAATAAGAAACTAGTTAGATTATGCTATATTATAAATTAGTTAGACATTGAATAATGCAATTAGTTAGAAGTAGTCTTACACTAAATGAAGCATTAATGCACGTATTGGCCAGCTAGCTATTGGCAACATAATAGCTCTGTGAGGCAGATGAGGCAGGCAAGCAGTGAGGCAGATGAGGCAGGCAAGCAGTGAGGCAGATGAGACAGACAAGCAGTGAGGCAGATGAGGCAGGCAAGCAGTGAGGCAATACACAATCACTGAGGCAGACTCATGCACCTGCGTGACTGTGACGTAGCCAGGCTATAAATACGAACGCTTCACTGCGCACTTGGCACCTGGTATATTCACTCTATACACCTGATGCATGCATCTGATACGCTGATCTGATAAATACGACGCCCAGCTGCTGCATCCACTCTTATGTATACACATAAGTTAATGGCCATTTGAGCCCTGAGTTACGTCTCCATATCAGCAATTACGCCGCACGTAAGTCGATTTTGCGTAC